AAACCGTCGTCTGTATCTGTCGTGTCGAAAATTTCACATAATCGTAAATTAATAAACATCATTGTCACATTCGAAATCATGGAAACCTCATCGATTATAAATAATTCGACATTCTTTAATTTCTCTCTCAAAGTTTTCAAAACCATATCTGACAAGTGCGTATACTTTGCCATGGATTCATGGGTAACAGGTAGCTGAAACATTCTATGGATCGTCAAACCATTGATATTGCATGCCGCGATACCCGTGGGAGCAGATATGGCAATCACTTTTTTCAAATTTATTCCGATCCAATGTTTAATCGTTTCAATAAGAAAACTTTTCCCTGTACCACCCTCGCCGCTTACATACAGTCGCAGAATCTGATTTTTATTTTGCAAAACTTCGCATACTCTATCGAAGACTCTTTTCTGGTCTTCGTTCAATCGCGACATCATTTGCGATAAATCAATCGGGACGTCAATCTCACCAAAATCTTCCAGATCTTTCATCGCGCCGTCAACTTCTATCGGATTGCAATCCAATTCATCGTCGTCGGATCTCTCTCTGTCTGCTTTCAGCTCATTTTCGCGCTTCGCGATTAATTCAGCTACGTTCTCAAAAGCTTTCTGTATTTCTTCGAGCCTTTCGTGATATTTCATCGCCTTCGTCAAAGCAGACTCTGAATTCTCAAAGGCATCCGTGTAAGTATCGTAAGCGTCTTTCAGTTCACTCAAATCTCTCCACGGTTTAAACAAAAGAAGTAGCGAGTAAAAGTATTTTTCGGGTTCAGTTTTAACATTAAATCGATAATGGTTAATTAAACAACATCTTTTTCGTTTTTTTAAAAATAAACCCGATACAAGTTTATAATATTCGACTTTGTCATTTTTTGGCATCTGTTTCGTAATTTCCCAAAATCTAGCAAAATCGTACAAATTCAATGATTCCAATTCTTTAGCTCTTTTCGGATAATGATCATCGATGAGCGACGGACAATAAATATTCGTAGATTCTTCATCGAGAGCTTTAATTTCATTGAATGTTTTAACTTTTCTGTTTCTTACTTCATTAACATCAATCCATTTGATAATGGTATCACTATCCGTACCATGCAAGGGATGACCTAGTAGTGTGTCTGCAGCTTCTAAAGCACCGCATTCTCTATTATTCAATGAACGCATCGCAAAATTCCACAGTTTCGATGCCAACGGCTTATTGGAGTCTATCATTGCAAAGTCCATATTGCATTTTTCCGACTTTGTCGTGTATTTTGTTATAAATAATTTAAAAACTCTGATTGTTCTCCAATAAACTGTATGTCCATATTTCCCTTCCAAGCTAATTTAATAGCCGGGTTATAATCATTGATAAACCTTTCCGACTTCTTCCGAGGAAGATCGTACAATCTACTCTTACTGCGTAAAGTTTTTCTACCCACTATCGAAGTAATGACGTCTCTCAAAACAAAGTTTTCAGTAACTGGTCGAGGAAAATCGAATCGACACTTTCTGTAAATATTCGTTTCGGTTTTCTTCGTACGCATGCAATACGAGTTATGTTTATGATTTTGATCACTTATAACCGTTTCGTACAACATTGGCGAAACGCTTTCGTCTGGAATTTCGCACGTCACGTATTTTCGAATGAACGCAACAACTTCCTCATTTGACGATTTTCCGAGTACTGGAGCATCTTTTATCCAAATCATACAGTGTACGTGCTGGATACCTCTACTTTGATATTCCAGTCGCCAGAAGTAGTGAATGACCTCTCCTATTGGGTTGTCGGACGAACAAATAAAATCAATCATGGCTTTAAATTTTATACACATGAATCTAGACGTACTCACCGGATCGTATGCGATTAGTTCGCTGATACCCAACTTCTCCTTATCGGAATTCATGTCTCGTAAATATTCATCCAAATCGGACCATTTCCATTCACTAGGACTTAAAGTTAAAAACCACGTCGCCGGACCATAATGCAGAGTCATACACTTTACATTATTGGACGGTTGTCGCCAAAATTGATCCGTATTTCTCAGTTTGGCAAAAATACTCATTACATTCGATTCCAATTGATTGTCTTTCAATTCGTTCAAGTACCTACCAGCAGTGTACCTCTCTCGTGGATTAGCAACCACCATCGTATAATACATTCCATTTTTCAATTGTCGGTAGTTAGCATCATTCAGAAGAAAGAACAAATACTGCAGATTCGACCTGAATCTATATTTTTTTTGTAAAAAAGATATTATATTTAGTACTTACGTTATTGTATTTATGTTTCAGTATTTTATAATTACATCACGCATCATTTAGTTTTCACCATATTTGCAAAATTGAATACTCTGACTGTGCCAAATGGAGCGAAGGTATTGAACACTGTACAGCAGCGAATTTTTAAAATAATCAATAATTGGAACGAAGAAAATATGGTTCCGTTTTCACGAGAACGGACGATGGAAGGAC